ATGAGAAATAGTTTTGTATAGTTTCGTGCGAAAATAGCAATAATGACTTTGCATTTTAGTTTTTTTGAGACATATCATGTGTCTGCTCATATGAGAAGAGCCCTCTTCTGGACGACTGAAGTGGCCCGGTGAGTAGTTTCATAATGCGCGCGGTAGGTTACGTTATCCCCAACTGAAGCTATATGATGATCGATTCTGCTGTCCACTTTATGGCATGATTGGGCTAGCATTTCGTCATGATAAAGGATAAAGGATAAAGCATTTGCCGTTGATCAATCCCTTTTTGGGATGCGGCACGCATTCTACTTCCATTTGTACATTCGTAGTGGCGTTTGAATGCGATGTGGCCTATACAATGACTTGCGGGGGCCAGCCGATGTACAAGTCAGTGTTTTTATCCTCCCAGACAAGTCTGGTACCAATTAACCGACCCCGGAGGGATGGAAGGCTTGGTTGGCCCGGGCGACTCACGACCCAGGATTTGATCCCCGGACCGCTCGCGTGGTAAGCGTGCCACTTGCCACTACACCACTTCCGCCCTCATAATGCATATCTCCTATTATTCATCCGTGCGGAGAGGCGCACTGTTCGAGACTGCAGCATCAACATGCACCAAAATGTCGTCATTTGGATCATTTCATTCCATTCGCCTGCGTAGGGGTGAGTTCCATTGCCAACTTTTTTTTCGACGAAGAAACCACGAAGAGAAAGAATATGTAAACTGTCAGTAGAGCTCGGAGTTGGAGTTCGGAGCCAAAACGAAGCCGCACAAGCGCATACAACGAGCATGGGTGCTAGCACAGAAATAAGACAAAGGACAAGGCTGGAGGAGCGAAGAGTAGCGGTAATACTACAGGGTCTACCTTACTTTCAACATCCTGCATTCTTGTGAAAATCGTCAGAACACCAAAAGAACGACAATCGCACAACGGAAGCAGGGTACGAAGAAGGTTAAGCACAATAGATCATAGATTCACGATCCCGAATAATAGTGAGGAGTTACGAGAACACACAAGGGAGCAGTGAAGATTATGTAAGAAGAACACCTGTCTGCATTTTCTCCCTTGCAACCCTTGTTCCTAAGATTAAGTTCAGCGATTTTGACTCTGCACAAGCACGAAGAGCGAGCGACGAGCCTGATCCAATGTGAAGTGAAGAGGGCAACGCCAAAACTTTTTAGAGAACGTCTAGACTTAAGCTCCTTATGGTTAGTGTGAAGCCACTTCTGCTTCTTCTAGTCTGGAGCGGAGCACCGTTTCGTCTCCGTCTATACCGTCACAAAGATTACCATTTGAACTTCTTGAGTGTGACTGAAGCCCGACATTATTTATGTGCTTGGACAATCTCACTCCTTGTAAACCCCTTAATTCACGAAGATTCAGAGTTTTGCAATCCACATTTTCGCTGCAGAGCTTCTCTTTTATCCCTCCCCTTCACGCTTCTGATCCCTACTCTCCTTTTAGTGAAAAGTTTCATGCCCTGATTTATTTACCAGCTTCATCAGTGAAAAATGATCAAGATTTGTGAATCAACCTACTTGAGCAAGGCATCGATATTAATTTCAGCAGTCAGATAGTAATGCGGGAATTGTGCTCTTACTTTCCGTCAAACGTTTAGCAATGGTACTGCGCATTCCCGTGAGAGGAATGTCCTGAAAAACTCAATCTTATGAGCAACATTCAAGAAACTCAGCCACAATATACTGCTATTGGATGGTAGAACTTACGATATAATCGGCTACGGGTCCACTAGGAACGCCTGGACGCGGGGCAGCAGCCGGTGCAGCCGCACCGGCCGGGGCCCGTGCAAGGTCGGCTGCAAGAATACGTCCACCTGGGCCGGAACCAGCCACTCCCTACAATAGAAAGAGTACATCCCAGAAAAACAAGAGTTGCCTGCAGGATGCTCACGCTAATATCCACGCCACGCTCAGCGGCGAGCTTTCTTGCCAAAGGTGTAGCGCTTACATGCCCTCCTGGATGAGGAGCTGCAGGTGGAGGTGCAGCGGCTGCCTTTAACGGTTTCCTTTTTCATGGATAAATTTTCTGGAGCGATAAAAATGGACATACCACAGGTGCAGGCGCTGCTGCAGGGGGAGGTGGTGCTGCCGCCGGTGGAGGTGCGCTTGGAGCTGCAGCAGGTGGCGGTGGCTTGACTGTTTCTCCAGTGTCTTTGAAGTCCTTGAACGCTGCCACTTTATCTTTGTTGTCGACAATAATGCAAAGAAGCTGAAATGACCATAATTGAACTTTTGAATAGAGGGGCTTGTAGTCAGTAGGCGCACTTTTCCTATTGGAACGCCCTCTGTGCCGGCAGATGAGATCTTGGCAATGGGAAACTTTTCGGGTGTTTCCAAGTAGTCGCTTATCCGTTTCATTAATAACACATCACTTCGCCGGCTCGTCACTTCTTTCCTGCATTAAATCAATTAGATTTCTTGAGAAGTATGGCCTATCGGTCTCATTATCCACGCGTAAATCATGACACTAAAGAACATGAATATACGGAGAGGTGAGCCAAATTCTGCGGAGTGAGAGGGATGACGCTCGTGAGCAAACTTCTTCTAGTATTTTGAGTTTAGTTACAACTTGGCGAATTAGTAAAGAGGTGTGTTAATATCATAAACAAACATAATATTTCATATAAAAATTATCAAATATTTTGTATGAGAAATTTTTCCCTTCATTATAACCTAGTTTAAGGGTGCGTTGGTTCGTGTTGTGTTTGCACGTTGTCTGTCCTCCGCAAATGGTCGGATAGAGGCGAAGTATCTGATTGTGGATACACTTTCAAATAGCTAAGAACACTCAGTAGGATCGAATTCGTTTCGAGCAGCGTTTGGCTGGAAGCAATATGTAGATTGGGCTGTGGCAGTCCTGCGCGAGTCGTACCGCCGCTTGCCGCGTGCTAGGGAATGCGCGACGAATTCGGGTAGTTTGGGCGTTTACTGTTCCGGCGCTGTGTATTTCTCATTTTCTTCCTTGTTGTATTTTATTACGTTTTATTTTTCTCCCGCTTTCGATTTTTTCCATTAGTGACTCATGTCGCTGTTGACACTAGGAGCGTTATACTTGCAGTGTGATGTGAGGTGGTACAGAATGTGGTGGGATGCGATATAGATTTATAAGGGCTGTCAGGGCGGCTTACTTACGTACGCCTTCCGTGACAATGACATTGACACTTGGCGTTCATAGTAAAAGTTTATAGTGTACTTGGTTGTATCGTGGGCGAAATTGATACACTGATGGGAGCTGTAAGGAGTTTGGGAGGCAGAAGTCGGCATCCATGCGCCATTCCGTTGGCATTATGGCGTCTCTTTTCGAATAGCTTTTAGGGTGGGTGTGGATATTTCTATCGAGTATCGCGTGACTGGGCACATTCTGTAGTTGAATGGTACCTATCACTTATCTAATACAGAAGAAAGGACTCATTGATGCCGCAAGCGAGCGTAGATTTGCGAACACGTGATCAGCATTAGGATGTTTTCATGCTTCGCGCGTGCGGTCGTGCGTCCCCGGTGCACGGCGCGACCGCACCAACAGTGCGAAGAGCGTCAATACGCGCTCTGGCGCATGACGCGTACGTTGGGCGCAGATGGCGCGCTCCGATCGATAATCTTGGTTTTGGTGTATTTCTTGTCTTTTTCGATATTTTTTTGCGCAGTCTTCCTTTTATTAGTGTTTTCTGTCACGTTAGTCTGTGTCTTATGAATCCAGTATTCAGTTTCCGCGGACGAGCGACGTCGTACAACCCTGTGTGAACGTGGCTTTGAGACCCGGTGAGTTTGTCATGAGCAGTTTTGTTTATTCGAGGGAACTGTATGTTTCCAGTAGTTGCTTTCTTTTCTTCGATACGATTTCCTGCTGGTGCGATAAATTAAATTACCAAGATCCGGCGGCCTTTCGCCACGCAGGACATGAAGAGATCGTAAAAAAAGAAACTTTAAAATTTAGAGTCCCGCTAATAAACAATTGTTATGATGATCGACCCCGGTAGCCTTTTCCCGGGGTAGTACGACGGAGGTTCTAGAAGTCGCTCGCCACGTGAACAATGAAATATGGAACGGAACATAAAAGAATAAGTATTAGCGATACGGTGCTAATTAGTTGGGGGGCACGCGGCGGCGCGGCAGTCTGCTCACCTGGGCTCTCTCTAACGAGACAGTGTAAACTCGAACATTCCAGCTTTTCACGCATGTCAAGTGACTGCCCCCACCCCCCACCCCCTAGACTGGCTACACTCCCCCTGGCCAGATTTTCTTGAAGAGCAGTGAGAAGACTGCCGCGCCGTCCGCGTGGCGCCCCCCCCAACTGGTTTAGACTCAGGATAAACGAATCATGCAACACTCCGCCAAAACAACATCGAAAAGCCCAGAAGACTCGATCCCGAATCTTCGGAGCGCGCGATCTGCGCCCAACGTACGCGTCATGCGCCAGAGCGCGTATTGACGCTACGCACTGTCGGTGCGGTGGGCGCCGTCGGCACCGACTGCACCGACCGCACCGGCGCGAAGTATGAAAGCAGCCTTAGGTCGTATGATACGCGCGATACTGGGCGGAGCAAAGTTGGTTAATTGTTATTACATTAATACTACTAGAATATCAAATATCAGTAACAAAGTATAACAACGGTATCAAAATGACAATAAAACTGGAAATATGCAATCATACCTTTTGCCAGCTGACTATGCGACCAGTCTCCATGGTGGGTGAGAGAGCAGGTAGAGCAATATAGTTGCACTGTGGATAATCTCCTTAAAAACATTGTGAATGTCGATCAAAAAAGTGGACTGTTCTCATTTCACCCACTCCCTTGGGAATCGCACCATTTTCGATTTCCATTTGGAAGCGAAACTGTCCAATTTGGCTAGCGCCACCAATATTCTCGACGTCTTTCATATCCTCTCGAACAATTCGTAAAAGAAAACAGATGCGGACGGAATAAGCCCTATGTGATTGAACGGGAGCTTCATGCTTTCATGGCTTGATAAACACATCTTAAATTCTTGAGGCTGTTCTCCTTCGAACAATAGTTTGCCAGAGACGATTGGAGAACAATTCGTTTCTGATCCCCAACCAGTAGTGAACAATTTTGCCCAAAATTCCCACAGCAGAGTTGAATTTGAGTGAATAACCCAACGTTAATGTTATAATGAAAAAATAGAGATTTTCGTTGAAATATACGATTTGTTTCAAAATGGCGCGTCGAAAGTTTCGATACGCTCTCGAGCCAGGATATACAGGGGTGGTCAAAAAAGGACGCTTCACCCCGCCTTTCGAGCAGAATTAATCACACTTTGCTAACTTCAAACCGACTGCTCCCAACTTAGAATAAGAGCACATCCCAATCTATCAATAAACGTTATAATAGCTTTCTGCACCAAGGACATCACAAGAATTTGCCATGGGAACCTTGTGCACGGTTCGAGCTCAACTGGTCCTCGACGGATCATGGACCATTACGACGTTATCTGAAACGCTGGTCGGAAGGGGTCTTGCATATTTAGAGCTACTGTCCCTAGGAAGCAATCCGTCAGTTAACCGATTGAAGAAATTCCGTAGCAGCTTCAGGCTGGAACGATTACTTTAGGCCTTCTTGAGCTCAACGTGATGGAAGATGACGTCATATTTTGGGGTGAGAAGAGGGCCTGCTTCTACTTATGGGAGGACAGGATATTTCGCCGTAAAACTTTCATCAACAGCGGCACCCTGTGCGACGAAAAGTTTGATGATGTGCGCCATGGGCAAAGTGTCTCTTTTTTGGCCACCCCCCGTACACTACATTTTTGCCCAATCCAATCTAGGGGTGGTGAGAGAGTAGTTCCGCGGTGGGTAAGCCGCTGCCCATGGGCAAAAAATAGATGAGACTTGGAAATGATGTAAAGGATGTAGGACACCACATTGCTTCTCAACTTTCTTGGATGTGCTAAACGTCGGAGACGTAGGGTATAATGGACCCCCAACTTTATTTCCACCGACAAATTCTATAGCTTTTGCAAATGTGAACGGAAGCGATAGTCATCTGCGGGGCTGACACAACTCAATCACTAGGATGCAGCATGCAGAATTAGGTCACCAATACTCAGAAACCTGCTCTCTACTGCAAATATTACTGAAAATACATTTAAAATACAGTGACCTCACCTGGCGGAGCACCCGCTTCCGCGGCAGGTGCCGATGGAGCTTCCGCTGCGGCAGGCGCTGCTGGTGCTGCAGCTGCAGCAGCAGGAGCTCCTGCTCCATCGTCTTTGAAGTCTTTGAACGCTGCCACATCACCTTCGCTTTCAACAATAATGCAAAGCAACTAAAAAGCAAATTGATATCACCCGTGATGGCAGTTTACCAAAAAGCAAACGCACTTTTCCAATTGGAACGCCCTTCGTGCCTTCAGGAATGCAAATTTTAGCAAGATAGCCCTCTTCCGGTGTCTCAAATCCCATGGTAGCTTTGTCGGTTTCGATTTCACATAGTAGGTCTCCTTCGCCTAGTTGATCTCCCTCTTTCTAAACAAAAATTTATTGAGACGAACATTGTTCATTACGAGTTTGGTTGACTAACAGACTCTCTAGCTGTCGCAATAATAGGAATGCCCAACCTCAACCGGTTTTAACATACAAATGATCGAGCAAACTCGGCTAACAAATGACCTTCCGCTGTTGGCGCCGACGCCATACTCGCTGCATCCATCTAGGAACTGCGACGGAAAAGAGAGCATAGGGCTCGTGCAGTAATGCAACCAGCAACAACCACAGACCAAGACCCCTCATTCGCCGTTTGTCGTTTTGTTCTGAATAGTCAACCAATTCGTGATGAAAGTATAGTTGCATTACCTTCTGCCAGCTGACTATGTTTCCGTTTTCCATTGTTGGTGAAAGGGCCGGCAAGGCAATACGTTTGTGTGGTGGGAGATTTCCTAAATAATTGATCAATAAGATGGCTACAAAGAGGATTAAAATGTAGTATCCACAGTGGTCAGGTCAATGCAGGGGATGTGATCTTCAGACCTAGTTATTCTCCACATTTACGTGGAATTAGGCAGTGCATTAGTGAAAACGGAACCGCTTCAAAAAGGTTTGCAAGATAGGTTTTTCTCCAATACTGTTGTCTCTCTGATTCGCTTTCGCTATAGCGATGCAGACTGTGAGATAATCGTAAACCAAGTGATCAACTAGCTGGCAACCTAAATCCTCCCAGCCGACGGCGACATTATCCCACTCTTCTGCTGCATTCTAGACGACAGAACGCGAACAGCATGTGGGTTTTCGCGCATAATCTTTTAGCTTTAGAACATCACCGACCATTATGAGACAAAAGCTGATTGAATATACATCCGGCGAAAGCAGAGAGAAGCAGTGGTTCAAATTTCCGCAGCAGTTCTGTCACAATTGTTGTGGAGATCAATCCCATTTTTGGTTCTAGGAGTGCCATCAGTGGGACATTCTTGGCCTTTCCAACTTTGGCAAGAGCACTTCATTCTTCTACTGCACTATTACACCAGATCGATTTCTCTTCTGTTCCCCCTCCGAATTTGAAAGCTTGAGCTCAAATCTTTCAGTGCATCTCTCGGTATGGCCGCCCCACCACGCGTTTTGCTCCCTTGGCTCCACTCGGCTCAGTGAAGGTCTATAGACGCTTGCTTCAAAGGTTTCCTTCTTTGTGGAATCCCGTTTTTCATGTATGAAACTTTGCGCTGTGCTTTTAATGATTGCAAATAATGCCTTTAAGTGAAGCAGGAAGAGAGAAATTTAACTTGAACGATTCTTTTGATAATTTTTTGTAGAAGTTCTGGCAGCGGCCCACGATCGTCTCGGAACCTTCGAAGATGGGCTTGTTGCGCATGTGTCGGTGTTTTGTTGCTCACCACATATAGTGCATACATCGGGTACCGATCAAATGCAAATAATATGAATGTAGCGGTGACTATATCAATGCGCTTAAAGGACAATTTCACGGTAGGATCGGAGCTGAGAAAGGAATCTCAGTAGAGAGGGACCGGCAAGACTTCCTAGAGCGCCCGACGAGTTTTATGCCGCGTTGTCGCAGCGTGCATATAGCGTATAATGCCTCACTAGCTAAGGCCGATCGCGTCCTGTACTCTGCTTCGTCAACTGGCTAGTCCTTCCGCGGACCACAAGCAGCCAACTGTGGTCACTACTTACCCGAACAGAATGGTCTCGTGCCTCGAACGATCGCTGTGGGGCGGAAGTCATTCTTCAACGAGTTACAGATCAGTGATGCAAGATGTGATGTGGACGCAGGTCGACTGAAATGCTCTATTATAAAAATCACTGATTGGTTTCTTTCTCGGTATATCTATCGGCATATCTGTATTTCCCTGAACAAAATGTGGCGTGATAAGGAAAATAATGGAAAAATAATGGAAGGCGCTATCGCAACACACGGGGCGCCTTCTAGGACAACCCGGTAAGAGCAGAAACTTCGAGGAAAATGGAAATTGCTCTGGGCGCGATGGATTTCTTCTCCTGTTCGTTGGGGTGTAATCCCGTTTTTAGGTTTGAAAGGGGAGTTTTACATGGTTCAAAATGCATTGCCTCTACAGTGCCCCGTATGTTTGCGATAGCGCCTGATAGGAAACCCATCGCTATCAAGCTATCAGAACAGGAGGGGAGCGAGGAGGTCCGATGTCCGACGAGGGGACATGATGACAACCTCGTGTTATTGATAAAAGGAAATATACAATTGTTATTAATAAAAGGAAATATGCTCCAGATTGCATCTGCTGAGACTTTTAGGCAGTTAATAAAACAAAAATATTTCAGGCGCTGTCATTAGAATAGAGGGGGCATGCTGCAATAGTTGTTTGGGCTGCTATAAAAAATTGTTCTAAGGCTACTATATTTGCCTGAACTTCACGCGATGGATAGAGCTAAACAATTCAGACAGTAAATAAAACATAAAAATTCAAGAACTTTCGGAAAAAATAACATGATATATGCTCTTGCTGCAGAGAATGCTTAGTTGCTGTTATCGTTGACTACTGATTTTTTAAAGGGCAGATTCTACAAGTGTTGCCATGTATTGTTTCGTTAGCTGTCTGGAAGCTTTGGCAGACAATATCGTTTTTACGTGTATTCTTCCATTAGCAGCAAGTCCCCCCCCCCTCCGTCGGACAACAGACCCATGGAGGGCCCGCAGCTTTGACGGTGTCCATGGCAATAGTAGCAGGCAACCTCCCTCCCATGCTTAACCCTCTGAGCACATTCTAGGACACTCTACATGGCGCTGCCCTGAAGGCTAGAGAACATGGAGAGGGAGAGAGTGCGGAGAATAAGGTGAGAAAAACGAACCACCAGTAAACCTAAGGCCCCAACCAGTGTTGAGCACTTATTTTAGCGTGATGTCATGACTTAAGAAGAAATCTTATTTGTGCCTACACATCCACTTGACGAGGTGTTGACCTCAGGAGCGGAACGAAGCACATTGAAAGGGTGGGACGTATGTATAGAGATGGAATACTAAACACTTCCATAGGTGAAATGAAAGAGAAACAGGTGGTATAACCGCACCATCACAAGATGATATTGCCCTAAGGGGGGAGGGAGAGAGAGCGGAAGGGGTGTGGCGTACAAAGGAGAACAGCGATCATTCGGCTGTCGGGAAAAGAAACTGATTATGGTGTAACTGGTTGCTACCTCCTAATTCCTTTCGTCTCAGAAACAGTGTTCCGGCTCTATCGCAAGATACGGGGGCATTGTGGTGGCAATGCATAAATCGCATGTAAACATGTTCTTGTTGAAAATGGAACAAACCCTCAGGCGGAGGAGGAGAGACTCCGAGATGTGTGGGCAGGTTTCATTCTTCGCGAAGTTCTTGCCCCTTCCTAAGCTTAGTCTTTCAAGGAATGGTCAATTGGTCAGTCCGGCCATTTGTAATGAGGTGTAGTCCGATGCATGCGTCACGCTGAGCTCAAATCCGTTTTCGGTATCTGCGGAACGATTCTCTGAAAGAAGTTACGAGGGATTCTTCTCACTGTGGCTTTTTCACTGTGGCGCCCTCTACGTAACCCACTCCCCTCAGTTCACTTAAGATGAGCCGGAGAGCATTAATGGCAGGGCCTGGTAGTGTAGTAGATAGCCCATATGCTACGTGACATGAGCTAGACCCTATCTTTATTTATTTATTTATTTATTTATTCGAATTTTTGCGAGTGAGACATTTTTGCATTTTTTCACGACTTCCCATACAAACCCATATATTATTTATATTCGGTTATTTCGTTAATTTGCTGACACACAGAAGGGGCACACCTTGGAAGTTCCTTCTCGTGCTTCTTTTCTAGGTTCTTTATTATGATGAGTTTTGCCACACAGAACAAAACACAAAGAAAGACCCATAAATGTACAACATTTCAACACTTACGAGCATGTGATTGTCCCTCATAAAAAGATCAGAACAAAACAGCTTTCTGCAGTGTGTACAGCGAGTAAAGAAAGGCTTAGGGGGATGTAGAGGGTGCCACAGTGAGAAAGCACAGTGAGAAGAATCCCTCGTAACTTCTTTCAGAGAATCGTTCCGCAGATACCGAAAACGGATTTGAGCTCAGCGTCGCAAGACGCGTGCATCGGACTACACCTCATTACAAATGGCCGGACTGACCAACTGACCATTCCTCATTTGGGGATGCCCTCGTATCTTGTGATAGCGCCCAGTATTCTTAAACGTGATCGTCCTTCTCCGTTTGTATTCGGATCCACTCAAATGTTATATAGCTTTCTCTATGTCAATCCCTCTGCCTCTTCGGACTCATTTACCCGACTGCCACTTTTTTCTTGGAATGTGAAAAAAACGAGAGAGAAGCAGTGAACAGAGAAAAACAATGACATGTTGAGCAGGGTATGGCTCTCTTCAGTACGGCTCTCGGCAAATTCGTGTTTCATAATTTCTTTCAATTAAAGCAATCGCACCTTTGAGGAACGACTCCAAGACTGGCCGGGCTCACTGCAGCTGCCGCTCCGTAGCGAAGGCCGCCGATGGTTCGGAAGCGGAATCCTCGAGCCGGAATTGTCGACATTTCACCTGAACGTGCAATATAGCGAAAGGAATATTCTCACAGAAAAAGACAAAGAAAATAAGCAGCAAAATGCAAAACGAACGTACCCTTCGGCAACACGTTAAAGCTACTCCGCCGCTACTTGCACCACCTGTCAGGGCGAACGTCTCGAACTAAACACTTGGTATTGGAACTTGACAACATGGCAGCTGATACTCTCACAAAGTTCACGTATTTGATTAACTTCATTTTTAGCACAAACATAATGCTTTCAGCGTTCAAGCTCGTATCATTGATCATTTCGTTATCAATGCAGCGTACATAACTTCCAACGTTGTGTTTTGACAGACGTCCAATTTGATGACAATCAGTTGCCCTCACAGTCGCCTAGATGCGTCGAGATCCCTGTTCCTACGTCAGTTACACCCGTGAAAATAACCTTTCTACCTCGAATAGTTAATAATCCTTACGATTGAGGGTGTACAGGTGGCGCACGTCACGTGTCACACTCGACAAGAGTTACAAAAACAGCAGCCATAAGAACAGGCAGCTCGAATCGAGCTTGTTTCAAGGGGCAACATTTAAAACAGGGCATTTAATGCTAGCAGGTCTTAGCCCAGGAGGGGAATTACGCCAGGGAGAACAATGGTTGCTCACGTCCTTCTCCAGTATTCATTTCCCCTCCTAAGGCTTAGTCCCAAGTTTTGTAAGTGGCTCACTCATTTCAGTGTCCCCTCTAGCATGAGATAAGCGCCAGTGCGTATTTGTACTGGTGCTGGGAGATCAATCCATCTCGGGATAGCGACATTACTTGTGCCCAAATCATTTTCGTTAGGGAGGATCCACTAGAACGATTAGGTGTACATTGCCTGGAAGACTAAGACTTTAGGCTTTGCGGATGTAGCGGTTCGCTGTTAGCAAATTGCTGGATTCGCTCGCCACTAGCGAATTGCTGAATTCGCGAAGTCTGACACCGGCCGGAATGTGTGAGCAATTTGTGTTCTTCCTGGCATTTATCCCACTTTTGGGTTTAGTCCTATTGTCACTTACCATCGGCCCTAATTTGGTGATGATCCTAAGGAGGATCCACTAAAACGATTAGATGTTCATTGCCCGGATGACTTCGCCTACTGTGTATTTGAAAAAAATGTTGATTATTAAATTAGCATCTCTTTTCTTCCCTAAGTTTTGCGATTTCCAAATTTTCCGCTCGGTAGTTTTCGGAGCACCAATTGAAATTTAGATTCACCGATCGGTATATTGTAGATCTATTTGCGGATTATCCGACTCTCCTGTTCGCTGACTAGGAACGACTCGAACAGGGTCAGCATAAGCAACGTCCTAGTTTAGAAATAGTCACCACCTCCCAGCTCCTACACAGGCTTGATGCTCCATTTGCAACATGCATAAGCTGACCGTTTAGTTCTCATTAGCGCGTATTGTTGAAAAGCGCGGCGCGAGCTTTGAATAAATATTCATCGTTCCGGGCACTCACGGCCATGATAGGATTCAAATTAGGGCCGATGGTAAGTGACAATAAGACTAAACAAAAGTGGAATAAATGCCAGGAAGAACACAAATTGCTCACACATTCCGGCCGGTGTCAGACTTCGCGAATTCAGCAATTCGCTAGTGGCGAGCGAATCCAGCAATTTGCTAACAACGAATCGCTAGATCCGCAATGTCTAACACTGCCTTCCTCAGAATCCCCCGTCCTACTTGGGCTTAGTCCCAAGTGCTGTTAGTGGTTCTCTCACTTTAAATTTTGCCGCAATGAAACGAGTGCCTAGTTTCGTATTTATTCAGTGGTTAATGTTGGTTGAATACATTGAGTACATACTTTGCCCCCCAATCGCAGCGATATTCTTTGTGCACTATTGAATCCCGAGGGACAAACTTATGACGTAAGGCCTTGACCTAATGTCCACCGAATTCCAAGACACACAAGTTGAAAAACAAAATTGAAAGCGCAAAGTTTCAACATACTCTGGAAGCAAGCAGCAGAAGGAAGCCCTGCAGCCACACGAGTCGTGAACAACAGCGAACGACTCGGAATAAATACCTGAAATCAGTCACTTTGAGGTAGTGATAACGATAGGATTTGTTACGCGAATCGATATCATGAAAACTGATACGGATTATAGAGCGTAAGTCTACAGGAAAATTCCTTTCATTACGAAAATTTGGTGCAAAATTCGTTCACAAATTTTCATACAATAGATAGAGCTCCTCCGTATCAACAGAATGCCAAACAATGCCTTGTCGTTAAAACTACAAAGC